GAGCACTGGGTGTTGTATGGAAACCAATTTGACAATAAATTTCATATATAAATAAAAAAAATAAATAAATAAATAAATAAGTATTAAAATAAAAAAAAAAATAAATAAACAATAGTCCAGAGACAGTAGCCACTCTGCCCTCTGGTGGTAACTTGCCACACTGCACCCCTCTTGCAGGGAGCTGGCTTCCCTCCATTCCCTCTCCTTTCCGGTGCCTGAGGGCTAATGTCTTTCCTCCCAGACCCCATGCTGCTGCAGGACACTTCTCCCAGCCACTTCCAGCAGACACAGTTACGTCCTGACCCATCTAAGTGCTCTGCCCCCTAAGCATTCCTCTTGAGCTCTCCAAGACTGCAGAAATCACTGCCCCTTATGAAATGCCAAGCAAACCATCATTCTCCCCGGGCATCTGAGGACAGCATCCAAATAAAATATGTAGGTTGTGGGGCTAAATTATGTCAGTGCCTCCACCCCCTCACTCCGGGCACCACAGCCCCCAAACACCAAAGAGAAGCAAGGAAAGGTTCTCTGTGAGGGAGATAGCAAGCTTCAGGTGGCCTAGGGGGAGAAGGAGTAAATGGGTGAGTGGTGGGTCCTGCTTCTTTAAGACAAGCCCCGCCCCTCTGCTGAGAAACATCTGCAAATTCAGAAAAGCTTAGAGAAAAAAGTATTGTGTGCCTGGGAGTCAACCCTCAGGGAGGCGCCCAAGGCTTCTGGAAGGTGTTGGTGTTGATAAGCATCCAAGACCCCACTGGATGTGTGTGAGGTCTCTAAGAGCCAAAGAGGCCCCACCTCAAACCCTTATCAGAAAGGGAACTGAAAAGATGCAAAATAGTTATGTTCACTGTGATAGTAGCTATAAAAAAAAATATGTATGTTTGTGCAAGGCAAGAAGTAAAAAATGAAAAATAAAATGTGTTAAGGTAGTGAACTGTGGGTCATTTCCTTTTCAAAACATTCTTGAATATTGTTTCTGTTATCTTGTCAGTCAGTAAAATAAGCATTTTTTTTAAAAAGAACCTAAAAAAGAGGGTAACTACAGAAGCCTGAGCCTTGCCGAGGCAATTGTTACCCACAAAAGCAAAGGGACCGTGTGAAAACCGCAGGATTCCCAGGAAATCTTAGCCAGAGTAATGTCCACCAGACTTGGGAAAGGGGGAGCCATACCACTGGGGTAGAGCCACCAAACACATGTGATGATGCAGGATTTGTTAGCTCCAAGGCCCTGAACGTGCCAGCCCACCCTGGGAAAGCAGAGGGTGGCGCCATGTTGTCGTCACATCCCCGGAAGGAAGGGGCATTGCCAGGGAGCTATGACAGGCAACGAAAGCTGACTGAGTCCAGCTTCTCTCCTTCCATGGTGAGGTTCTCCTGGGATCTTTACTTGAAGATTAAATGTTACTGTTTGGGAGAGGAGGTGTCATCAGCAGAATGTGGATTCGATGTAGGCTTGGAGAGGGAGTGGAGAACTTTTGGCAAAGAGGGAAATCTTCTGTGGCCTCAGAAGTTAGGGATTTCTCTATAGAGCCTCTTTGTGAGGTAGGCTAATTAATTAATTAATTAATTAATTAATAAGCCAGCTTATTAATTTCTTTCCTTTAGATTTGGAAAGTATGTTAAATGTCTTTTTTGTCCCTCCTATGCTTGCTATACCTGAAAGGGGTTTGAGGGAGCTCCTCAGAGGTTTCTGAGTGAGACACTTAGGGGTCCTGCCTGGATGTAGACTGACCCCTGTACCATGAGGCTTGCATGTTCAATCACTTGGCCACATGTGACAGTGGCTTCTTCAGTGGCAAATACAGAGCCTTCAGTCATTTTAGCAATCAAACCTCAGAAAGGATGTTTGCCTGGCCAGGGCACTACCTACTGGGGTACCCAGCCAGATGCCTGAGTCACCAAAGAACAATGGCATCCAAGAGAAGGGCCATCGGGAGAAGGAGGGTGTCCTGGGGAGGATGTCCTCAGTGTCTGTGTTCTGAACTTACCATTGTCTTCTTCACATATACTTCTTGACCTCGGGACAATCCAAAATCTGCTATTTTGGCTACATAGTTTTCACCAACTAAAATGTTCCTGGCAGCCAGATCCCTGTGGATAAACTGAAATTTAAAGAAAAAAAAACATCGTTTGCTTTTTTCACTTCATTCTGCTGGCACAAGGCCACTGCGGTCAGACCTTTGGGAAATAGAGAAGAGAGGAACCCAATTCCCTTAAAGTTCCTCTCTAATATCCTCAGTGGATTTGGCCAAATGACCCATCATGTTTTGGGAGAAGCATTTCAGGGGGAAAAAAAAAGAAGAAAAGAAAGAAAAGAAAAAAAAAAAACCAAAAAACCCAGGTCATTAAATCTTCCTGCTGCAGTCCAAGTCCTCTGCTATCATGCATTATTTGGATCCAAATGAAGCTAAGATCAGTTCAGCCTCCTCATCAAATACACATGCTGAGATTCACTAAATACAGTTCTTGTCAGTGTCTGGCATTAACTTCTATGTAAACAAAATAGTAACAAAGAGATTAAAATTAGGACAATCATAAGAGGAATTAAGGGGGGGAAGTTGACTAGAAAAATGTATAAATTTAGCTCAACTCTGAGTCCAGAGAGAATTTCAAAGGAAAGATGTCCAAAGCAAGGTCCTCACCACACACCTGTTTCTGGCTCAAGTAGTCCATGCCACGGGCCACATCTGCTGCAAAATGGAGAAGCTGCTGGGAGGACAGCGTGGAGGCGGTGCTGTTGGCAATGGCAAAGGCGGGATCGGTCTCCAGCACTCGGCTCTTGCGCAGGAAGTCCAGGAGGTTTCCGTGGGGAGCGTATTCGATGGCCAGGTACAGGTAGCCTGTGGGGAAAGGGAGAGACACCACCTTCTCAGTGGCCCTCAACAGCTCTGAGATTTCAAAGGTGTGCTAGGGTCTCGGGAATGGCTTGTAAAATTTAGTATCTAAAAGCAACACGTTGGGGCACCTGGGTGGCTCAGTCAGTTAAGTGTCCAATTCTTGATTTGGGCTCAGGTCATGCTCTCACGGTTCATGAGTTCGAGCCCTGTGTCAGGCTCTGCACGATGAGCACAGAGCCTGCTTGGGATTCTCTCTCCTTCTCTCTGTTCCTCCTCTGCTTGTGCTCTCTCTCAAAATAAATAAATAAACATTAACAAGGAAAAAAAAAAAGCAATACATCTAGTGGTACCAACCTTGAGAACACTGACAACAGGACTGAGAGAAGTTTCACGTTCCTGCCATGCTTACAGGGCACCATGCTCAAACTCAGGGTCCCCTCTTTCCCACCCCCTCCCGCCTACCACACGTGGACTAACATGGAGGCTTCCTGAAGGCCCGCACCTACTCAGTAAGATTTGCCTCCAGAAGATCTAGGACAGCTAGTCTGCATCACCTGTTATTTTTTTATTCAGTATTGATGGAGAACTAACGTGAGCCAGGCATGTTATTCCAGTCTGTCTCTAACTTTTCTTGAGGTTATTTTTAAAAAAGAAAAAAAAGAGTAAGTGTCCATGGCAGAAGGACCCGTACGAGGCAACTCTCTGCCTCCTCCTTCTACTGCTCCCCTAAAACTCCCGCTACGTCACTGTCTTGCTCATTAGGTTCTCAGAGTCTGAGGTCAGAGACTGCATTTTGCTTAGAGAAATCAGAAAACTCAAACTTAGACAAATAAAACAATAGGTACTAGAAGAAATTATGGTCCATTGTCTTCGCCTATTCCCAAATTGTTTTCCTTTTTTCTTTTTTTTTTTTTTGATAAAATTAATCTTCTTTCACAAAAACATTGATCTTTTGAGTCAATGAAAAGTAGAGTGGTTTTACTGTCTTTTAAAGGTAAAATTTTTGGTATACCATTTTTTACATTTAAAATGTCGAATGAATTTTAACTTCAGAGACATTCTAAGAAATTGAAATTCTGGTGTAAAAAAAAAAAAAAAGCCTAGTACTGTAGCATGTAGCACTGTAAGGCAAGATACGCCTCAATGCTTTCTCACTTCCTCACTGAACTATAAATCTTAAGAGCCAACCAGTTATGTGCTAAGGTGATGACAGAGCAAAAATTTAAAAGATACACATTTTTCTGTTGGCGGTGGTTACTTTTTTTAAACTTTCATTTACTGCTGTCCCATGCTGACCACTGTTTTCAGGAAATAGCTGAAAAATAAATGTCATTACTTCATTATTGAACCTAAGGGACATGATCTAGCTTTCAGAATTACACCCTATTGGATCACAGAATGATATATTGTTTGAAGCCCCAGTATTTTTAGTTTAATAAATTGAGGAAAAGGAAGTAGTCTCTCTTCTATTGTTGGTGTTTGTGCCTCAGAATCAACAAGAGGTTGTCAAGTTTGGAAATAATTACTGTGTGGAGCTTTTTTGTGGGATCAAACTTTTCCATGAGGAATTAATCATAATTAAGCATAAATTTAAGCACAGATTCAGAATTATAAACCCAGGTAGAATGCTGAAGTAAACCCATAGAAGTACTTGTTATATCTAAATAATATAAGTGGACCTTTAAGAGTATGTACAACATAGGATAGTTGTAGAGCTCCACCATAACTGTACCCATAATTGTTTGGGGAAAAAAATGAAGTTCTATCAGATATAAGTTTATTACTATTATTTTATCCTAGCCATTACCAATGCTTTTCTATTACAATAGGTTGTTGGCATTCATGGATTTAACATTCAGAGTATCAGTGTCTTGGGCTTGGAGGAAATAAGATAGGCAACTCAGAAGAGCCAATGCACTTCACTCTTCCTGATGCTGAAGGCTCCCCCAAACCCTAGCAATAGTAGCTGAGGGAATCCCTGAATCAGCAAGGATGGCAATGTGCAGCAACCACGGGTACCTTTGAGCATTAATGGGTGAACCACACCAGAAGGCAAAAGATCCAGCCTGGGACCTACCTCCAAAAAATATCCCAAGTCTCATTACAATCTATAAATAGGACCAGACATTCAGAATTAAACTGCAACTTTAAAAAAAATGGGTAGCATTCTTAAGATTGTTATATTTACTAATTTCAATATGGAATGTGCCTGTTTTAAACAAAAATTCTGGCAGGAAAGACAGGAAAAGAGCATCTTACCACGATGTTCACACGCTCCCAAGAGATTGATGATGTTTGGGTGGTGGCCAAGTTTACAGAGAACCTCCAGTTCCCCAGCGAAGTCCCTGTGGTCATCTTTGGAGGCATATTCTGGGAATTAAGTCAAGAGTTGTGATCCCTGGCTGTTAGACCCCTTTAGAAACAACTATCCCCTCCCACTCCCCAGGACCTTCAGAGGCACTTAGTCACCATCAGGTCTGGAAAACTGTATAGAAATCAGACATTACTCTAGGAAGAGTACTTGGTACCATTGATACTTTGGGCGGAAACCTCTGTTGTTGGGGGTCTGTCCTCTGCATAGTAGGATGTTCAGCAGCATCTCTGGCCTCTACCACCCCCCCAATACCAGCGGCCCAACCAAAAGTGTATCCAGACATTGCTGAACGTCCCCCAAGGGGCAAACCACCCCTGGTTGAGAACCACTGTTCTCAAGTTTTCTTGTTTAAGCTCTCAAATGCCCAGTGAGATGATTTGGTAGAGATGGAGCAGCCTCTATTTAGACTCCAGCTATTCTAGCTGAAGCCGCTGTCCAGCAACGCATATGCTGAGGAGCAGAACCAAAGTTTCAGTACAACAACACCGGGAATGTACACACCTTCCTTTATCATAATACTTTTAACCTGCTTTCCCACAAATCAGTCCTGCTAAAAAAACAAACAAACAAACAAACAAACAAACAAAAAACACCTCAAATCCAACGGCATTTCTATGGAAGTTGCTTGATGGTCAGGAAACTGAACTACATCTGTTTCTATTCTTTTCATCCCGTCTCTGGGTTACCACTTGGATCAGAGGAAGAACCGCCAGGTACCAACCAGGCTGAAGGGAAAGCTCACTCTGGCTGACGCACAAACTGATCAGCCTTGATTGGTGACAGAGTGCTATTATGGTTTTTTGAAAAATAATGTTGGGTAGGAAAGGGAGGAAGGGGGGGCCAGTTGGTGCTGGTGGCCCTGTGCCTACCTGAACATGCTTGGAAATTACAGGAATGTTTCATATGGGCTAAGGGTACACACAAAACTAGCTAGTAGGCAATCCCAAATCAGATACCCTGTTCATACCATAAGAAGCCCGAGGTTTAATGCCTTGGAAGCATATTTAAAATGAAGTTCTTTATAATGACCTTGTCCCCTACTTCAGTATCTGTCTTCCTTCGGATGCATCATTCTCCCTGCAGACATTTTCTGCCCTGGTGCCCCATTAAGCTATTTTACCTCTTCACATGGGCATGGGACCATCAGGCTCAGATCACACTTTAAAAGCCCTGATTTTACAAAATTCTACATCCTTTCTTCTCATACTATCCTTACTATTCCCCAAAACTCCCTGTAACTAAAGTATCAAAACAGAAAAGACATTTCTGGATGCTAAGCAAGATTGTGTGTGTACATGTGTACGTGTATATTTGAAATATACTACTATCTCTAGGCATTGACAGTATTTTATTTGTTTTATTTTATTTGTTTTCTATCAACCTGCTGCAAAGAACAAGTTAATTCCCCCCTTGCGCTCAATACTGCTGTCAGAAAGGAAAACCCAGCAGCAGCCTTAGAGAGCCCACACGGTGAAGGTGACCCACAGAAGTAGTTAATTACATTCCCTGTTCTGACACACAGCTTTCCAAGCCCAGATGCTCTAGAACCCACAATGCAGCTTCTCAATCAAGCCATGTGCATTACCTGCCACTTCACACAGAAGAGAATACAGCTAGTACAGACAGTGAGCTAGACATTCAGCTTTCTCAGAAGATGTGTATTAGCCATCTTGTTAGATGGGTAGGCACCAAGCGGTCTTGAGATGAAGACAACTGGAAAATACCTCATTCTTGTGACCTTAGATCAATGGTTTTCAAACTTGAGGGTACAGAGGAAACAAGGAGCATGCTTGTTGAGAACACAGATTCTCACGTGTCGCCCCAGAAACTCAAATACTGTAGATCCAACAGTGGGAGAAGCCAAGTAGATGCATTGCTAATGTCTCCAGGAATTTTGATGCAGATAATCCATGAAGACAGTGGTTTGCAAAATGTGGCCTCCAAACCCTCAGCATCAGCATCACCTGTGATCTAATTAGAAATACAAATCCTCTGGCCCTGCTCCAGACTTACTGAGTCAGAAACCAAGGTGGACCCCAACAGTCTGCTTCTAACAAGGCTTTCAGACGATTGTGATGCATGCTCAATTTTGAGAACCACTGCAGTAAGAGAAACAACAGTCCTCCCCCACAATGAGCAGTGTGTGACAGGGAATCTATATTCTCACATCACAACAAGACAGTGGCATTTAAACAGCTCATGCCTTCATGTTTATGTCCTGACCCTGTCACCAGCTGACCTCAAAGGAAATATCACCTGCAGTTGCACTGAACAGCTATATCTGACACCATGCCAATTTTCTGTTTAAATAATGTAAGAGAATAGAGGAAAGATTCAACAGGAAGTCAAGTTGTCTCCCCGCCCGAGTGAAATGCTGACTTGATGTGGCCAAGCACTGACCTTTCATTCTCTTGATGGCAGCGTCCATCCGTAAGCCGTCCTTCTTGATGCGCGCCTTAAGAACCTGGCCAAAGTTACCCTCCCCGATCACATCTTGAAATTTGATGTCATTCCAGTCAAGCACTGGATAAATTGTAGGATCTGGGTTGTTTTTGGCCTTCCTGTTCAGGGCCAAAGTTCCTGAGTTGAACTGCACAACTGGCTCTTCCCTCTGGAGAAATAATTTTTTAAAGGTTTTATGTCAGGATTTTTCATAATTCTGACATGCATAAATACTCCTGGTTTGTATCCATACCAAGTGAAACAAGAAACTAATTCTGGGATGGAGATGGAAATAGGTTTCATCTAACAGACTGTCTACAGCTTCATGGGACACTTCCAGGCATTGGGGGAAGGTATTCTGCAATCAATTAGCAATGTCTGCAGACAGCAAGGCAGGGGAGAATTAGAGCAGGGATGCCACAGGATGGCACATCCCTGAGTTAGTCACATTGAGTTTCTACTGAGCTTTGAAATAAGCAGGTACTTAGTTTTGGTTTGGAAAAGAACACAGAGATCCTATCTGGGACAGTAAGAGGCCATGCCTCCATGAGAGCTTTTCTTACATAGTCTTGGTCTATTCTGGACTCTAACTCACTCGCTCTGGCTTATCCTAAACCTGAGAACTTCTTGAGCCCACTCTGGAGCAGATTCAGACCCCAGGATGACAGAGGCTTACAGCAAAGCCCAACACAGCATCACCTTTTCTCCTGAGTTTGAGAGGCTGGCATGTATAATGACAAGGCACCGATATCATAGGAGCTCCAGTGCTCCCGGCCCCCTTGCTGGCCCTTTCTCTCCAGGAGCAGCTTGAGTTGAGCCACCTCTGGCATGGAGTCAGATAACAAAGCTCCCCTTGTCCTCCATAGAGGGGAAGCTCAGGGGTCTGTGGACATGAAGGTATACCTTATCTAGAATGTGTAGCTGTACTCAATGTTTTATACATGGCATTGATAAAGCTGGGTGCAAGTTTATTTTACATAGCTTAAAACCACACACTAGAAAGACATTCAGGCTCTAGTAAAACCAAAGGAATCAAACAGGGTACATATTGGTCAAGTATGATTTTGTAAACTCTGATTACTGATCAAAATGTCTAGGCGAAAGAATGATGCAGTGCCAGGTATTATGAACTATGACTGCAGACTGAAGGACACAAAGGAATGGAGATACACACATGTACATACAATTCACATATATTACAGACACAATGTATATGGGATAATAAGATTGTGGGAGATACTAAAAGTCGAAAATGGGAACTGGAAATAGGAAATGTCTAGCACAATACATCATTACCCATGACATCGAGGTCTGGTTACACTCATGTCCTTCCTTACCAACAGTGTTCAGTTCTTCATACTGCAAGATTAGTCTCCCTGGTGACTTATCATTAGGATGACCATACAGCTCACTTTGTTAGGGCCTGTTTTAGCCCTGGCTTCCTGAATAATTACTAAGAGCAACCTTTTCACTCTCATAATTGTTCCAGGTTGGATAACAAATTATATAGTCATGCTGTTTATCTCCCATTTCATGACGGAAGTCAAAGAGAAGATGAGGCCTGGCTAAGGAAAATACTGGCTTTAGAAGTAAATTTCCTGGTCCACATCTTTCAAGTGAAGGTTCTGCATTCATGCAGACTTGTACTTATTAGTTAGTAGGAAGATGAGACACTACCACGTTTTGGAAAGCTTGGGCCATTCTCCTTTGGACATTTGCCCTCTTCAATTGCAACATGATCAGGAAGGCCAACAGCACCGTCAGGCAGGTCATTCCTGCCGAGCCAAGGATGGCTATAAGCAGCATTTTCCCGCCTCCAAGGTCCGCTGGTGCTGCGCAGAACACAGGAGAAGCAGTAGGGTTAGTTTTGGAGAGACAGGGCAAGACCATCTATGGTAGACATCACAGGGAAACAGAAATGTCATGGTAGCCCTGACTCTGCCACCTAATTGCTATGGGACCTTGGGCTACTCATTCATATGTTCTGAAACTCAATGGAGAGGAATGACTCACAGTCTGACTTTTTATAAGACCTAAAAAAAAAAACAAAAACAAAAGCAACAACAAAACAAACAAAAAAAACCACCAAAAAACACAAAGTGCTGATTATTATATAATTATTAATTATTAATCTCATCATTTATCCAACTTTTACTTCCAAGTAGAGGCCCAAGCAACTGCACATTGTCAAGCAATAGTGAGAATGAGTAACTAGATGTAGGACTTTGGGAAAGTAGCTAAAGTTCCCCTGAATAATTTCCCCACCTAGAAAATCTCTCTTGTTCTAAGATGCTGAGTTTAGAGTCTGTAAGGTATTTTGCTTTTTTTTTTCTTATATAAAAAAACTGATAGAGAAAATCTGAGAATACCAACGGGAGAATGAAGGAAAGGAGGAGGGGAAGGAGGGAGAGACAGAAGAGAAAAACCATTAAATTCAGGGCTCAGGTCAAAATGAACTTAAAGATTATGGTCTAATCTTTCCATCTCTTTCCCTTAAACTCAAATAAAATTAAATGCAATATATTTTTACAAAAAACAGTATGTAGAGCATCACCCCATCTTCTTACAAGTATTCTTTTGTGATTATCTCTTTCCTTCCTTCTATCTCTACTCATGGGTGCATAAAAACAAGTCTGGAATAGAATAGTGAGAATTTTGTTGTTTTGTTAGGTCTTGTTTTTTTTGCTTGTATTTTTGTAGAGCTTGGATTTAAGACCTGTACACATTTTACCAAAACACAAAATATTATAAAAGTAATGCATTTATTAAGAGTGTCATCTGAAAACTCCAATTCTCTATAATTGGTAGACTCATAATTCCTTTAACATTTCAAAAATATTCCAAAGAATCAGCACTGAAAATATCCATGTTTCATTTTATTTCTTAAGCCCTAGGTAGCCCTCGAAACCAAGAAGTTTTACTACTATAAGATTTTCTGTAAAAAAAAACAAACAAACAAAAACAACAACAACAACAAAAAAAACAAACAAAAAACCTTAGTCCAGGTTATATAAATCTTCCAAAATTTCCATCTAACATCACTCTATGTTCCCTCACACTTGTGGTACAGGGCAGAGGGCTGGGAGGTACGGTTGCAGACAGAATTCAAAGGGAGGATGCTCCAGGAGCTGCAGCCCCCAATCCCCATCCTGAGTCCCTTTTGTTCACTTAACTATGTTCAACAGGTGTTATCAATCACAAACCCTGGGCATCCTGTGCTTGGCACTCTGAGGGACCTCCATATGTCTCGAAGAGCTTACTGTCACTAGAGTGGGGGTTAGTGGTGGATGTGGAGACATTATAACTTGGATCCAAACAGTGAAAGAAAAAAAAAAAAAAAAACCTCAGAATAGTATAGTGTCATCCAAGCTAAAAGAGGAGTTCATTTGAGAAAGAATGGTGTTGGTTCTTGGAGCCTCCCACTGAAGCACCAGCATAGGCCTGCCTCCACTAAGCAGGTTCCACATTCTTTTTCCACGGAATCAAATTCATATTCTTCAGAGCTTCCACTGCTGGATAGGGAGTGTGATGGGATAATTTAGTCTAAGGCTTAACAAAAGAAAATGGATCAACAAGGATTCCTTCCCAGGGGCATTTTCATTTTAAGAACCTATCTAGAGATGGTGAAGCCTATTTGGACAAATGAGTTATGTCACATAACGTACATATCAGGTAAATATCTTAAGATAATGGGGCTTTCCCAATCATCTCCAGAAATAATCCTATGTAAATACCTGTCCACTCTACCAACCTTGAGATTTAGAAAGGGTCATCAGTTCGTGAGAAAAGGTTGGGTTGCTTGACCCTATGTTGTTCTCTGCAAAAATGTCCACCTGGTAAGCTGTTTCAGGCTCTAGGCCCTTGAGGTGATACTGGGTAATGGTGGCATTCTTGATCTTCACATCGATGTGCTGGTCTTCATTTTTGCCCTGAACCTTGTAACGGATGATAATAGAAGAAATAGAATAGCCATCCAAGATTGTCCAAGAGATCATGGCTGAGGAGTCTGTGATGTTAGAAATCTTAATGTTTTCTGGTTGAGGAGGGAGAACTAGAAATTAAAAAAAAAAAATTTAATTCACTTAGGATACACTATCATCATTTAGATTATTATGTTCTTAAGAGATACTTAATGTCAGTTCATAAACCATGAATGGCAGAAAGCAGGAAAGAACCTCTTTGACCCTGCCTGCAGCAACTTCTTATTCAACACGTCTCTGGAGGCAAGGGAGGCAAAAGCAAAAATGAACTACTGGGACCTCATCAAAATAAAAAGCTTCTGCACAGCAAAGGAAACAATCAGCAAAACTAAAAGGCAACTGACGGAATGGGAGACGATATTTGCAAATGACATATCAGATAAAGGGATAGTATCCAAAATCTATAAAGAACTGATCAAACTCAACACCCAAAAAACAAATAACCCAGTGAAGAAATGGGCAAAAGACATGAGTAGACACTTCTCCAAAGACACCCAGATGGCCGACACATGAAAAAATGCTCAACATCGTTCATCATCAGGAAAAAACGAATCACAATGAGATACCACCTCACACCTGTCAGAATGGCTAACATTAACAACTCACGCAACAACAGATGTTGGCGAGGATGCGGAGAAAAAGGATCTCTTTTGCACTGTTGGTGGGAATGCAAGCTGGTGCAGCCACTCTGGAAAACAGTATGGAGGTTCCTCAAAAAATTAAAAATAGAACTACCCTACAACCCAGCAAATGCACTACTAGGTATTTATCCAAGGGGTACAGGTATACTGTTTCAAAGGGGCACATGCACCCCAATGTTTACAGCAGCACTATCAACAATAGCAAATGTATGGAAAGAGCCCAAACGTCCATTGATGGATGAATGGATAAAGAAGAGATGGCGTATATACATACAATGGAGTATTACTGGGCAAACAAAAAGAATGAAATCTTGCCATTTGCAAATATGTGGATGGAACTGGAGGGTATTATGCTAAGCGAAATTAGAGAAAGACAAAATTCATATGACTTCACTCATATGAGGACTTTAAGATACAAAACAAATGAACATAAGGGAAGGGAAACAAAAATAATATAAAAACAGGGAGGGAGGGGGACAAAACATAAAATCCTCTTAAATATAGAGAACAAACAGAGGATTGTCAGAGGGGTTGGGGGAGGGGGATAGGCTAAATGGGTAAGAGGCATTAAGGAATCTATTCCTGAAATCACTGTTGCACCATATGCTAAGTAACTTGGATGTAAATTAAACAAGAAATAAATTTTTTAAGAAACATGAATGGCAAATAGATGTTTTCTCAGATGGTAATTCCAATCAATTGGAAGTGGACTCCAGAAGACATGACAAAATAGCATAAGCCAGGAAAAACGTCAACACATATATCACATATTTGCTCATGCTTGCATTAAAATAAGACTTCAAATTCTGTTACCCACAAACATATATTATACTGTTTTTGATGCTGGGGAGAACAGAAAGATTATGAGAGGTGACATTTATATAGGCTCTTCCATACAGTAACTCATCTCCTCTTCCTAACAATCTTATAAAAATTCAGTCCCAGAGAGGTAAAGTGACTTGACCAAGGTCATATAGATATTGTGTAGAAGAAATAGGATTCAACTCCTGGCAGTCTGACTCCACAGTCCATCATCTTAGCCACTTTCCCAAAAAGCCTATCCTTGCCCTAAATGTATTTATGGAGCAGTAACAAGTCAGTGTATACATAAGAAAATGTGTCAAGGACTTAACAGACAAAATGCTACTGGGATTTAGGGAAAATAGAGATCACATTCTACTCGGGGGGAGGATGAGAAAGAGAGGTTCTGAGGTTTTCCAGATGTGAAGATGATAGGCACAGAATTGTCCCTACATTTTCACTCAACCTGCTGTCTGGTAAAGGACTCCTGCAAGAGGTAAGTCGCTGACTCTATACAATAGAGTGACTCTGTATGACCCCAGGGAACAAGGAATCCAAGGTCTTGCCCCTGATATCAATTATACCTTCCATCTGTGAGGCTGTTGACAAGGTGTTTCCATATGCAGGTTCCCTCTTGACCCTCATAACCACATAGGTGGCTATGAGTAGTGCTGAGATTTTTATTATCCAGTTTTAGAGATGGACTTTGAAAATGAAAGGACTTGTACTGGTCCCAGTAAGTAAGTAAAAGACCCAGGCAACTTCACCCCATATATTACTGTCTTTCCCCATATACTGCTTAGAAGCAAAACAGAACCTTCAAGAAATGTCTTCAGGTATACTCTTTCTATCCTGAATTCTCAGAGATTCTTCTGCATTCTAAATTTCCTCTTTCCATGACGTTGATCATACTCCTTTGGTAACTGTGGCAATTTATGAGGATTAAATATTGGATTTTGGGCCTTCCAAATCTGATGGTCATTTTCTATGTCCCAAACCACAGTTGATTCATCAACAGTATGTCTTAACTTCCTTTGCCTCCACTACCAAGATTTTGTATATTTTTACAAAAATATAGAATAATCTTCCTTCCCATAAGGAGATGACAGAATATTTGGATTCTTACCATTTTCAGACTACTATTAACACATGATTAACTTTTATATAGTGGTGCCTCAAAAAAATATTCAACTTGATAAACCAGCGGTAGATCTAAACCTGTCACAAAAAGAAGCAGTGCCTTGCAGACACCTGCTAATTTTAATGCCAACTAAAAAGCACAAATTTACATCTACCAATTTATCCACATTATGCCTGAAAGAAGTCACCCTTTGAACTAGCTTAGTGGATCTGTGATTTAGATGCAGTGAGTCTAAATCCAGCCATCTACATTTTTGCAGTTTCACCAGGTAGGTTCTAAAGTCGATTTTAAAACACTTTAGGAAAAGCTAACCAAACAATTTACAAGCGGGATATGACTGCAAAATGAACTTCTCCAAGAAGCGATCTCTTTTTGCAATTGTTCATTGCCCCTCCAAAGAGACTAATGGGTATCCCGGTTTAGTAAAAACAAACAAAACATAGAATTAAAATATGCAATTTCGAGTCCTAACCCCACGATTTACTTGCTTAATAACTTTGGTCAAGTTGCTTACCTTCCTTTGCTTCAGGTTCCTCATTTGTTAAATGTGATAACAATTCCTATTCTAATTTCCTTACAAAGTAATTGTTAAGTCAAATGATACACTCTGCATATACGTATGCAAAAAAAATTACACACATGTATTATTTTTACATATGTTTGGGGCCATAGGCCAAATTTAATTCATTCCACCCCTTACACTTGGACCAGATGAAATTGCTAGGCTGTGACTACTCAAAGTATGACATTGTGACCATTAGCTTGCTATATGTGAATAAATAAGACTAAAACTAAAAAGATTAAAATACACCAAAATAGGGGCACCTAGGTGGCTCAGTCAGTTAGATGTCTGACTTTGGCTCAGGTCATGATCTCGCCGTTTGTGGGTTTCAGCCCCGTGTCAGGCTCTGTGCTGACAACTCAGAGCCAGGAGCCTGCTTTGGATTCTATGTCTCCCTCTCTTTCTGCCCTTCCCCTGCTTGTTCCCTCCCTCCCTCTCTCTCTTTTTCAAAACTAAAATAAAACATTTTTTAAAAACACACCAAAATAACATCCCTAAATTTTAAAGACCCAAATATACAAAACAACTAGAACTACTAGAAAAAATACAGAGAATATGTTCATGACCTTGGGATAGAGACTAATTCTGAAACAAAAGTACAAACCATAAAGGCAAATATTGAAAGGTCTCATTATTTCAAAATTTAAAGTATCTGTGGAGAAGTCACCACAGACAAGGTGAAAATAAAGAAATTATGAGAATAATATTTGCAATGTGTGTAATAAGAATAAGTATCCAAATTATATAAACAGCTTTTTACAAATCAGTAAGAAAAGGCAACCAATAGAAAATGGGCAAAGTGTATCAACAAATACATCAAAAAAAGGAGGAAATCCAAATGCCCATAAAAAGATGCTCAACATCGCTAGTTACCCAGAAAAAGAAAATTGAAATTAACAGTGGGGTACCATTTTTTACCTTTGAGATTATGAAAAATAAAAAGGTCTTCAACATCAAGTGTTATAGAGAAAGGATATATATACAGGACTGGATGTGGGGAAGATGGTGCTTTCACATATTCCTGGACATCATCCACTTGGAATGCCACTTCAGAGAAAAATAGTCTCAGTTCTACTTCTGGACATACTCCCTAGAAAAGCTCTCACACCTATGCACCTGGAGACATGTATAAAGGATGATCATTGCATTTTTCTTTGGGATAGTTTAAAAAAAAAGGAAGGAAGGAAGTTAGGAAGGAAGTTGGGAAGGAAGAAAACAGATAACCTAAATGCCCACCTCAAAGGGAATGGATAAATAAGATGACACAGTCATAACAAAGAATATTATGCAGAAGTTAAAAAGGGATATGTCAGATCTAAACAAAGGAACATGGATAAGATGAAATCATGTTTATTCCAAAGAGCAAGGTGAAGAGTGATTTGTATGCATATGTGCACTTATGGATGAAATTAACATACTGAGTTGATTCAACCTTGAATGGAAAGATACACAGCAAACTTCTAACTGGGTTGTCTCTGGGGAGCAGAGAATAGAATGAGAGTAGGGATGATGCTCCAAGGGGCTTGTGATCTGTCTGTATGGTGTTATTATTTCCACAAATCAACAAAAAGGCTGAAAGTAACTATGACAAAATATTAACAGTTGTTAATTCTGGGTGGTAGGAATGTAAGTGTTTGAAGTACTATTCTCTGTACTATGTTGTAACTTTAAATTTCACAGAATTTTTTACAAACTGATGAAGAATCCTGAACACTGACAAAACAGTTGACTTCACATGTCACTCACAGAAGACAGTGGCTGGAGAAACAGAGCCAGTGTCTACACCTGATACTGAAAAAGTGAGGACACAGCTGAAGAGAGCCTCAGACATCGGGTATTGGCAAGGGACCACAAGATCCTAACATAAGTGGTAGTCGGTGTGGCCAAGAAACATTTAATCTTTCCAAGGACTCCAAAACACACAAGTATAGTTCTAATGCAATGAATCAAAAGAGAACTCTTTGCCTAATGATGAAAAACTTTCAATACTACCAGGAAACCCAAGAAGTCCCAACTAATTTTAAATGACCAATCTGAAATACAGAAAATCCTGGGCTGCAGAATATTTTGAAAGAAAAGCGATTTTATCACTCTCAAATATACTTTGGAACCCTAAGAATTATCTATTATGAATATTTTTCAAGTCAAGTATTTGGCTTGTAAGATTAGGAAAGACCTAAGTAACCAGCATGTATGTGTCTAAAGAAATAGGACAATCCTAGCTTGTTTGTTTGTTTGTTTTCTAGAGAGAGACAGAGCAAAGCTGGGGAGGATCAGAAAAAGAGACAGAGGATCTGGAGCAGGCTCTGTGCTGACAGCAGACAGCCCAATGTGAGGGTTGAACTCATGAACTGAGAAATCATGACCTGAGCCAAAGTCAGTTACTTAACTGACTGAGCCACCCAGGCGCCCCAAGAAAGAGGACAATCCTGAAAACTGTCCTGTAACAAATTAAACCCTAGAAAAGCTTATTCATGTTATTAACTTACTTAATACATAACTCCATACCAAGGAAAGGTAAATTTTAGCACAGTCCTGCCTGAATTATTGCAAATCCAAAAACATGGAGATTTCTTATGCATTACAGGTTATTCAAATGATTTGGTATGCTGGGGCAGGGTATTAATTAGCCTCCATTCACAATTAACTGCCTTTTACGATTTCCAGCAAACAGTCTTGACTTGATGGTAGCTAAGTCCAAGTAGCGTTAGCCAAATGTCATTCAGGCAAGGTTGGGGGCACATGAGTTACTTACTGTCACTAAGGGTCCAAGCGATGAGATCTTCACTCCATTCCCCCTGGGCCTTGGTGTTGACTCTGGCTCGGACTATGTACTGCTCCCTGGGGTGTAAATTGTTAAGTAGCACTGAAGTCAAGTTGCCTGGGACTTTGATATTCTGCTGGTCGCTATTCATTTGCACAGACCTCCTCTCCACTTCAACATAAAAGTCATCTTCTGAGGTTGGAAATATTGGTTGCCAGGTCAAATTTAGAGTAGTCTGACTTTTTGGTAGGAGAATAAGACCTCTTGGAGGAGGGAGACCTGGGAGAAACCAGAAAGGTTATGATTTTTTTTAAAGATTTTATTTTCAAGTAAGCTCTGTACCCAACATGGGGTTCAAACTTAAAACCCCAAGATCAACAGTCACATGCTCTATGGAGTGAACCAGCCAGGTGCCCCTAGACCATGATTTTTACATAGGGTGAAGCACAAACAGCCCCAAAGGGCAGCTTTACATAACAACCTTGGCTTCTAGAATAATATACAACTTCACAAGCCATCAAAGAAACATAAGCTAGCAACCATGCAAGACTTTTTTTCTATCAAAACTGCAAATCTTTGTAACAATTCTAATTTGTAGTTTGAATACTTATAATACAGGAAGACCTTTAGAGAACAACTTGGGAATATTTTCCAATAGCCCTAGAAATGACCGTATGCTTTGGCCCTATAACCTAACCATACCAGGGATTTATATTGAAGAAATAATTCAAAGAAAGGGAAAAACCTATGTACATTAAGATGTTCATAATAGCATTATTTAAATAGCAATATTTAAATAGATAATAGTATTATCTAAATACTCAAAATAGGAAAATGCTTTAATAAATTATGATATAGCCATCCAATGGATTAAAATAGATCATGGGGAAAAGTATGGGAGGCCAATAAAATATTTATAATACTTGAGAAAAAACTCTGCAACATGGTAAAAGTCATGTCTACAAATGGTGAAGGACAGGGAGGAAAGTGATAAAAATTTAAAATGTGGAGGGGCGCCTGGGTGGCTCAGTAGGATGAGAGTCTAAGTTCAGCTCAGGTCAGGATCTCACGGCTCGTGAGCTTGAGCCCCACGTCGGCCTCTGTGCTGACAGATGGTAGCTAAGTTGGAGCCTGGAGCCTGTTTCAAATTCTGTGTCTTCCTCTCTCTCTGCCCCTCCCTCCCTCCCTCTCTCTCTCTCTCTCTCTCAAAAATAAACAAACATTAAAACAATTTTTTTTAATTAAAACAGATTTCCCAAGATTGTGGGATAGTAGGTAACTATTCAGTGTTTCTGTCATGCTTTTGAGCAACATATTTTAAAGCAATTTTAGGGTTACTTCTCCTTAGCAAGAATTTCAAACATTATAATAGCTGTGGTGGCAGGGCCTGGAGCAGCCCTGCTCTGATCACATCAAAGTATCAGCTACAACCACATGCTGCCCCTGCCAAGACCCTGGGCTCCCAGACAGGTACCTGAATGGAAACAATATGTGTTCTGAAATGAATCAGATAATGCTTTGTGGCTTGGGAAAATTCGTAAGTTCTCCAAGTTTACATGTAACACAGGATGAAAAAAGCAATCTTGCAGACTCAGGAGGAGTAAACGGGATAATGGATGTGAAAATGCTTGGAAGGTGTCAGGGATTCTATTAATATAACCTACTTTCCTTCCTTCCTTCCTTCCTTTCTTCCTTCCTTCCTCCCTCCCTCCCTTCCTCCCTTCCTCCCTCTCTTCCTGTCTTGTGTCAATGGACACAGAAGGAATCTGTGTATTTTCAGTTAATAATAGTAAATTGATTTTTAAATTCCAGATATTAAGTGTTTGCAAAACACAGAATAGGGATCCTCTAACTTGTGATTTCTCAGTGGGGACATTATTGCCCCTAAGGGGGCAAAAACTGGTTCCTGGGATATGAGAATATTTTATACATTACAATGGCTTAGACATTTTGTCTTAAGGACACAGATATCTAAAAAGGGGGCAATAATTGAAGAAGGAGGAGGGAGAGGGGGAGGGAAAGGGAGAGAAGGTTGAGAAACACTGTTCTAACTCTTCTTGGTGAGAAGAAGGGTCTATTTCCATACATCAGGACAGTGACTCCCACCAGCCAGTCTGACTGCTGTTACACTAGGGAGAACCAGCAGTCAGGTCCCACAATTTACTTGGCATTATGCTAAAGCAATAGTTACTCTCTATAGCCTTTGCAAATTAAATCATTATTATAACTATTTAACATGAATACATTTATTACTCTACATAGTTATTATTCCCTATAACCTTTACAAACTCAAAGAGGTGATGTCAACGCCTTTGGCTCATCTCTGAGGTTTAAGGTCCATGAAGCCACCCAGAGGGGCTAGGCAAGCTTGTAACGACAAAGCAGAACAGAGGGTTGATGTCTTGGAGCATACATCTAAACCTTCTAAGCCTACGCCTGGTACAGGGGAGTAACTGGGACCAACTTTCCTTTGCCTTTCCTTCGGGAACATGACTTACCCTTCACCCCTCCCTACCTGCCCTGTATGTGCCGTGTGTTCAGAGTGGGATCTCTTCCCTCCTCTCCTGGCCTTCTGGCCTTCCCCATTTAGTCAACACACTTATAAATAGTGCAACTGCCAGATAAATTAAAAACCAAACATCAGCAAGATTCAAATGATGGGAAAAGAAGAACCATCAAGAATTCCCTCCCCACCTACCCCTGAGAACTCCTTTGAAATATTCCAAGAGACTTCTAAATACATCCTGGCTGGAACATGTTCTGAGCACTGAAGACAGTCCAGTGTGGGTCTGTGAAGTGTTTTATGATCTGTTCCATAAATACTTTCCATCTGAGTCAGATTATGTATGACCTTCCCCTTTGATTCATCAGTACTGGCAGAGAGAGAATTAACTACCATTTGCCTTCGAGCAGCAACCTGACCACAGCCAGAAGCCCCTTTGATGTCTTTATCTTCTACTTTATATAGTTTCTGGTATGATTTTTGGTATTTGCTATCTGCTGAGTTCCCAGGAAACCGTTCCTCATTTGCACAATGCTTCTACAAGCACCAGAGTTGCTTTGGAGTTTCCCTTTGGTTTTCTAAGGGTGGCGCTAGTGAGGTGAAACAGGTAGGGTGAGTGAAGTTGGGCAGTCTCTGTTAAGGGAAGCACCACCCCTGCAGGAGACTTAGATGTTCTTTCGTGTTTCACACTCATTAATCCAGATCCTTCTGGACTAAAAATAGGAAAACTAACCAAGTGGGATAAAGAAATGGTGTCTTTGGGCTCCTAGCTAAAATAATAATAATAATAATAATAATAACAACAACAACAACAACAACAACCAAAGAAGTAAAAGGATGTTAAGTCTGAAGATCAACTTAGTAACCACTCAATAAAATGGGGAAGATGATTCTTACCCTTTAAGGTAATATAAATTAAATATATGTGAACTACAAACTATAAAGCGCTGACCAGGAGACAGCAACAAATGCTTATACCCAAGGACCACTAGAAAGGCAAACTTTACAAGGGATCACTCCCCTGTTTCTGACAGGGGTACCTGGGTAGCAGAAAGATGGAGCCTAGGTTAGCATCAAGGAAACTTCACAGATTCAAAGGATTCTCAATTGACACAATAGAAGGCCAATAGATACTAACATTGATCAACCAAAAAAATATCACTATATTACTCAGAACGTATGGACCGAGGATATGCAAAATCCAGTACAACTCGCCAACATTTTAGAGCTGCAAAATCTTGAGCCTGACTCCCACCCCAAACCTACTGAATTGGAAACTATGAATTGGAAACTCTGGAGGTGGGTTTGGGGGGGAGGGGGCTCAGATACCTGCTTTAACAGGCTCTCCAGGTAATTCTTATGGACACTAATGTTTGAGAACCATTGAGGTATATATAATAAGAAATAGCTTGGGCACCTGGGTGACTCAGGTGTTAAGCATCTGGCTTCCGCTCAGGTCATGATCTCACCTTTGGTGAGTTCAAATCTCATATCAGGTGAGCTCAAGTCCCACTTTGGGTAAATACGAGCCCTGCTTGGGGTGAGTTCCACTTCTTTTTCTTTCTCTCTCTCTGCCCTTCACTCACACTGTCTTTCTCAAAAAAAAAAAAAAAAAAAAAAAAAAAAAAGGAAGTAGCTTAAGGAGGTGAAACTGACTGCCTATAGGGAGGAGCACTCGGAGGTGGGGAGGTGACACAGGGGTCTGATCTTTAGATAACAGCCTTTCATTCTATTTGACGTTTCAACTACGGGCATGAATTAGTTTCAAACATTAGAAATTAGTTTTAAAAATAAGTCAACTGGGATTTCTGAAGTATACATGTGGCAAGAGTCTGGCCTAGGCCCTGAAGATGGAAACAGGAAGCTGTTGGTGAAACTCAGGAACCAAGCAGTTGCTGCTAAGTAAATCCCAACTCCTAAGGGATGTCCCTGCCTTCCTGAAGGCTCATCTGCTTCCTCCTCTGTCCCGGACTGCTGCAGACACCCTCCCCCAGGGAGATAGACCAGGAGTGCAGCCCAAATAAAAGAACGATTTGGCTCCAAGCTGTCAACCTTCCTGTCACTTTCCCACCCATTCAAAAGCAAACTCCTTCCCCCTGCACCCCCACCCATCCACTCGCCCACCACCACCCTTCCTGGTCTTCCTTCCTCTTTCCCCTTCCTCCCCGCTCCCACCCAGCGCAGGAATAAATGCCGTTTGCTTCCACTGACCGATAGAAGCAGTGGTGAAGCGTCTCACGGGTCCCGGATGCCCTTCCCCGCCCTCTCCACGCCGGACCAGCTGCACGCAGAGCTCGTATTCTGTGCGAGGTTCCAAATAGTTGAGTGTAACAATCTCATTTGTCACTGAGAAGAGGGAAAGTCCAGGAAACTTAAGTTGGCATTCTCATACCTTGCTTAAATCGGAATGTTGTTATTGTGATGTGAACTAGTGTTTGGTTCTCAGAAATAATGTGTAAGTGAAACAGGCAAGCCATTCCTAACATAAGGGAAAAAAGGCTTTTTAAAGGAAGTTTCCAGGTGACGATGTATACATTTCATGTAGGTCTCTGAGCCAGTTAATCACTTCCACGTTTGTCTTTTCATTTGTAGAGTAAAACCACACAAATCCTCAACTATATGAAATAACAATTAGATTTAAGGGAGGGAAAATCCCAATTACAATAATATAAAATAATTTAATTGCCACTGTTTTTAAATACATAGTGATTGCAGTCAGGCTTTCAACAGAAGAGATTCTTTGGGAGTTTGTTTACAAAGACCGGATAACAGATTTGTAATAGTTACACTACTTGCACAGGAAGGGCTCTGAAGTACTTGAAAACAGAGCCCATAAACAAATAGTTTATGCATGTTTAGCTATTAGCTTTAGCCAGCCTCTGTCCTCCATAGCTATTGCAAACTATTGCCTTATTGTAGGATAAACTCCCAGTTGGTAAGAAAAAAGAATTGGGCTGTGTATAAGAGTTCTTAGAACACTTTGTGAATGTCCACTTGTAGAAAGTGATGACGGACTAGTACCACCGTATTGAAAAAAAAAAAAAAAAAAAAAAAAAAAAAAGCTGATTTTTAATAAGACCTAGCCATTGATATCGTAAACAGCAACATAGCAAATCAGCCTTATGTCACTGGGATTCTGAATTTCGGCTGAGTCTAGAATAGAATGAAGCGCTCAGTAACAATGCCATGACTTAATTTAACATAGGTCAGCTAGCATTAAGCTCAAACCTCCTTTTGTTCTCCTTCTTGAAACTTCGTCAATTACCTACAGAGAGTATGTGGAGGGCCCTTTTTAGGAACTGACAGGCATAATGATACTAAAGGATGCCTGTTGTCGACAAGTGTGGTAATGAGATCTCTAACAAGTTGGTGCTACCATAGCCAATTGACAATGTTCAGCTTTAAAAAAAAAAAAAACAACCTGTGATTTCCACATGAGGGAACAAAAAGAACTGCAATTGGTGTTTCAAAATAAATGTAACTGTTTCCGTGAACTGTTGACATTTTATCACATTTTGGGATTTTTTTTCCTTCAGGGAGTTGGGGGAGGGGCAACTCTTTGCCCACATACCGCACCCCCAACCCCAGTTTAGTCTGCCACAGCCCAAACTTTTCAGGTCCAAATTCCTTTCAAAATCTCTGTGTGTTGGGAGCCTGCAGGACAGGGCAAGTCTCAAAAGAGAAAAAGAATGAACAACTCAACACATCAGCAACAATCACCCCTCAGATTTTATAGTCTCTCTGCCTTTCCAGCAGGCCCTGGACTTGCCTATTACCGTATTCATGGCATAAGCATGTATCTTCCACCATGACCCAGCCAGATAGAGTAGCTAAACAGAGGATTGATGAGCCAGAGAAGTGTGGGAAAGACATACTGATATAAATAGTAACGCTGGACACAGCCCAGTTCTGTGTCCTGCAGTATACCACAATTTCCAGAAAGTTAGCCCAAGAACTCAGGACCCACGCACTCTGTCCTGAATACTCTCAAGTGGAACCCTCTGCTATAGCCACTACCCAGGGGCAGAGGAATGGGAGTGGGAGAGAGGATTTCTGTATTTGAGGAATTTTTTTTCTACCTGCCACTTCTTTAGCTGGAGTCTTTCCTGTTCACACCTTACCTTGAATATGCCGCCAAGCCTCATAATGATTAACAGGTTTGTATAGGAGCTTCTTGGATTTGATTGGTCCATCCCCAAAGTAAGGCTCAGAGCTGATGTTGATGACAGCAAAATTATGTCCAGTGTCAATCACGTTTGGGGCATTCAGGGGCTTTGGAAGAACTAAAGAAAATTTCAACAATCAGATTAGTCCTGAACACTTTGGAGCTTGATTATCATTTTTTGGTGGAGGTAGAGGAAGAGTGCCCTTACATTTCCAACAAAACCCTCTTGAGGCAGGTGCAATAGGGAAACACTGGGTAACTGCAGGAGGAACAAAAGACAGGGAACTGAGTCTGACACCTGACGGAATGTGACATCTGAGTAACCCCTGTGATAGCTCTGTGGTTTCTCACGGCCATAAGAATCCTATTGTTGCTCAGGCTCAAGGCACACGTGTACACGGACCCAGTTAGCCTCCAAATTGCCAAGAATGACTCCTGCATTGGGGGCACTAGAGCACTCCTAGTACCTCTTGACTGTGGAGAAGCCACAAGAGAAAAATCAGACTGCGTCTGCATATAGTAGCTGACATGGAGAATGCGTAATAATATGCAGAGTTTTTAGAAGTCCCCGCCTATTCCCACAACCCTACAAGAACATACCATCCCCTAGTTATGACTACCCATAAAAAAGCAGAACCCTACCTCCACCCAAGCGACTCAGATCCCGTATCTGACTGTACCTGCACCATCCCCTTTCAGTGTGTACTTGTGCTTTGCAATAAAGAATCTTCTGCTCCACTTTGACTCCTTCTTGAATTCTTTCTCACAATGAAATCAAGAACCTGGCACTAGGCTGGTGGTTGAGGTCGCAAGGCCGGAGAACTCTCCCGCATTTGCCATATCACCCTTAGAGTTCTCTGTTCAGATTCAATGCATTTGCCAGTGGTGTGGTCTCCTGGCTTTCCTCTTGCCCCTCCAAACCATTATCCACAAAGTACTCCTTCAAGTATGCTCACTTCCCTGCTCAAGACCTAACTATGGATCCTCATCATGTCTAGAGTAAAATCTAAGATTCATACCATGACCTGCCAGGCCTTGCACAATTGAGCCCCTGCCTCCTCTTGCCCTCACCCAGTACCCTCCAGTGCCATTGACCTTTCAGTTCATCCAACTGACAGTGTACCAAGCTCCCTTCTGTCTCAGGTTCTTTGTACATGTTGTTCTGCCAGCAGTGCTCCAGACCTCCCACTACTCTCTGGTACCTTTTAACTCATCATTCAGCAATTAGCTCTGATGTGACTTCTTCACAGGGGCCATCCCCAAACCCCAGTTAGGCTTGTGTGTCATACACCTTCACACAACTTACACTTTTCCTTTGTTGCAATTTTCAGAATTTATTATTCTTAGAGATTTTGTGTGATCATTTGACATTGGTCTTCCCTATTAGACTATGCATGGTCTCTCTCTCTCTCTCTCTCTCTCTCTCTCTCTCTCGAGCTTAGAGCAATGCAAATTTATTCTTATAGTTCTGGAGGTCAGAAGTCAGACACAGGTCTCACTGGACTAGGATCAAGGTGTTAGCATGGCAGTAAGGGAGCTCTAGGGGAGACTCTGTTTCCTTGTTCTTTCCAACTTCTAGAAACCACCTACATTCCTTGACTCGTGGCTCCTTCCTCCATCTTCAAAGACAACAATATCATGTCTCCTCAACTCTTTTTTCCATTGTGATATCTCTGACTATAACTAAGAAAAATTCTCTGCTTTTAAGGACTCATGTGATTACAGTAGGTCCACCCAGACCATCCAGAATAATCTCCCCATCTCAAAGACCAAATATTCTCAATGGGGTGAAATAGCAACCCCAAGGTGGTTAAAATTGGTTCTTGCATGATTGGAAAAGCCTCAGATAATACAATGGTTTGTGGCCCTTGAAAGAGCCATAACATAACATAACGAAAGAGTTCATAAACAGATATGCAGTACATTCATGATACTAACATTTTATGGTGTTGGGAGGAGAGTTTGGGAATAAATTTCTAAAGGGGCTCCTTAGTGAGGTGATAATGATAAAAAGGTTGTAAAACACTGCACTGGACTCTAAACCCCGAAAGGACAAAGACCATGGAGGTTTACCAGGTGCTGTGTAATGTTTGTCAATTGAATTTCTAGTGAGTTCTATAGCTCCACTAACCTATCCTTCTTAAAAATGCACACCTGTTTTTTTCCTCCCCAAGAATGTATGCTATGTATGTAGAATCTTTCAGATTCTGCCAGTGTTTTTAGTTAGGGCAGTTTCTGAGAAGAGGGCACTGCTGTGAGTAAATTCATTCATTAAGTCATGCTTCCCTTGTATGATCAAATAAGACCACCTGTTTGCTTAAACCATCAAATGCTTATTTTATTATAGCTATTAATACCAATATCTTATAAAAGGGATACTTTTACAAGAATGAAACAAACTGCCCCAAAGCTTCCTCTACGTAATTTACCATTTTATTTTTTGTCTTTTAATAATTTTTATTGAGGAACGCCTGGGTGGCTCAGTCAGTTAAGCATTTGACTTCGGCTCAGGACATCTCACAGTCCATGAGTTAGAGCCCCTCATTGGGCTCTGTGCTGACAGCTCGGAGCCTGGAGCCTGCTTCAGATTCTGTGTCTCCCTCTCTCTGACCCTCCCCCACTCATGCTCTGTCTCTCTCTGTCTCAAAAATAACCATTAAAAAATTTAATAATTTTTATTGAGATATGCATAATGTAAAGTGCAAAAATCTTAAGTGTGTTTAGCTCAAGGGACTTTACCTGGGTACACACCCACGTAACCATGACCCAGACTGAAACACAGTACATTTCCAGCGCCTCCTCGCCCCCCGAAAGGGAACTCTTGTGCCCCTGCCCTGTCAATAGGGAATTATTTTCCTGGCTTCTGTCATTATCAATTAGGTTTGTCTGTTTTTTAACTTTATATAAATGGAATCATAAAGCATATATTTTTGTTGCTCAATATTATGTCTATGTATTATTGCAGGAATTAATTTTTTTGCTATTTAATATTGCATTGTAGGATGTTATGAGCTGAATTGTGTTCCCCCAAACACAATTATTATGTGTATGCATATGTGTATGCATATCTGTTATGTACTTAAACAGATCCTACATTGAATTCTTAACCCCTAGTACCTTGGAATATATTTGAAGATAGGGTCTTTAAAGAGGTCATTAAGTTAAAATGGCATCATTAGGTCTGTTCCTAATCCAATATAACCGTTGTCCTCTTTAGAAGATTAAATCAGGACACACACAAATGGAAGACCATATTAAAAATACAGGGAAAAGAGAGCCATTCATAAGCCAAGGAGTGAGGCCTTAGGAGAAAAATCAGCTCCGCTGAAACCTTAATCACTCACCTGGCCTCCAGCACTTGAGAAAACAAATTTCCATTGTTTAAGCCACCTAGTCCGCGGAACTTTGTACGGCAACCCTAGCAAACCGTTGTATATGAATATACTACAATTTATGTATCCTTTATGATGTTGATGGATGTTTGCGTTAATTTCAATTTGGGGCTATTATGAATAAAACTGCTCTGAACATTATTGAAGATGCCTTTTTGAACATACACCCTCATTTCTTTTGAGCATGTATCTAGGAGAACTGCCAGGTCATAGGTATGTGAATGATTAGTATATATTTTCAGTTTTCCAAAGTGGTTGTACCAACTTGTATTCTGGTAGCAAAAAGCCTTGCATTTTTTTTTTTTTAATGTATAAACTATGATTAAAGACACTGATTAAATTACCTAATGGCTATTTCCATTTTATGGATATCAGTAATTATGACATGAAGAGGCATCGGTAACCTAGTAAAACAGATGTTTCTATGCACTGATGCTGTGTGCTGTGACTTCCACCAAAAAATAAAAATGAGAACTACTGACTCTTCTGAATCTTAGCAACATGGTTTATTTTTGACTTATTTATTTTCCATGGGCAGCAAACATTCCAACAAGCTTAAAAATAAGGTAATTTGTCTTGTCTGCATATCATTTCCTTCCTTTCAAGAACACGCAAGATATAAGAAATTATTTTGATCGTGTGAATGTTCTACTGAATAAAACAGATCAGGGCTTTTTTCCAGTAACCCAAAAAATATTAAAGATTCTTTGGCAGTTTACACAGATCCTCAGGGTACAGAATCCAAATGTATAAGGCTGTATTCAGGCTAATGTTGTTATTGGTCTTTCAAAAAAAGATTAGGTTCTGGGCATTTACATTTATTTCATTTATGGGAATTAGCTCTGGGATAGCCCAAAGATTCCTAATCAAGTAGCAAAATGGGTCAAATACAAGTCAACGTTGGTTATCTTGCTTCTTAATCTTTAACACAACAGACTCAGAAAATAAAATGGTCTAGAAAAGATGGTGGAGTATTTGGAGTCAGGAGACCCAGGTTCAAAACTCAGATTTACTTCTTAAGAGATATGCTACCTTACACAAGTTAACTAACCCCTCTGAATTTGTTTTCTGACTGGTGAAGTGGTCATAACAACATCTATCACCCACAGTTCTTATAAAAATTAAATAAGATGAGGTATGTGAGGCACTTAGCTTGGTGCCTTTTCTTTCTACAACACATATCAGAGAGCTGCTTGCTGTTTTTGTCTAAATGAGTTCATAAGAAACTGACAAATTTAGGGACGCCTGGATGGCCCAGGTATTTAAGCATCCGACTTTGGCTCAGGTCATGGTCTCGCAGTTTGTGAGTTCGAGCCCTGTGTCGGGCTCTGTGCTGACAGCTCAGACCCTGGAGCCTGTTTCAGATTCTGTGTCTCTCTCTCTCTGACCCTCCCCCACTCATGCTCTGTCTCTCTCTCTCTGTCAAAAATAAATCAACATTTAAAAAAATTTTTTTAATAAAAAATAAACATTAAAAAAAAATACTGGGGCACCTGGGTGGCTCAGTCAGATAAGCATCCGACTTCGTCTCAGGTCATGATCTCTCAGTTTGTGAGTTCGAGCCCTGCATCGGGCTCTGTGCTGACAGCTTGCAGCCTGGAGCCTGCTTCAGATTCTGTGTCTCCCTCTCCCTCTGCCCCTCCCCAACTCATGCTCTGTCTCTCTTTCTCAAAAATGAATAAACGGTTTTAAAACACGTTTTAATAAAATGAAGCTGACATTTAAAATTCCTTGTGGTATCCATGTATACCAGCCAAGCTAACTTGGATTTACCTCCACGTTGCTTCTTCCGCTCAAGCCAAGAATGTACATACACCCACTTAGATTAATTTGAATTTTGAAATACTAATTCAGAGCAGGAAGAATACTCACAATGCTGAATATGTGAAAGAAATCATTCATGTTCATTATATAGCATAGTCTGGATTTCATAATAAATGAGTAAGCCTCAAAGTATTTGCCAAATTATCCTGTGCAATAGTGAATAGAATGAAGTCAAACTTTTCATGAAATATTAACACTATAAGACATGTTGTTCCAGACACAACTCCAAGCGTTTTTACATATTTAACAAATTTTCACAGTAACCCTGAGAGATAGATAAACTAAGCTTTATTTTCAAATAAAGATAGGCTCACAGAGGTAAAATTCAATTGCTCAGGGCTATAGACAGGTGTCTGGCTACTAGGGACAAAAATTAAACCCAGGGCTATGTGACTCCACAGGTCATATACTTAATTCCTCCCTTCCATTTTCATGCATATAAAAAGTTGTTAAGAGAACAACAACAAGGAGAGGGAAGATGGCGGCATAGGAGGATGCTGGGCTCACCGCGCGTCCTGCTGATCACTTAGATTCCACCTACACCTGCCTAAATAACCCAGAAAACCACCAGAGGATTAGCAGAACGGAGTCGCCGGAGCCAAGCGCAGACGAGAGGCCCACGGAAGAGGGTAGGAAGGGCGGCGAGGCGGTGCGCGCTCCACGGACTGGCTGGAGGGAGCCGGGGCGGAGGGGCGGCTCGCCGGC